GCAGGGCAGGAGCAGCTGAGGGACTCCGCGCTTGCTCTCTCCCGAGAGAGGCTGTCACAAGCCTTTCCTCTTAAGGAAAAAGGCTGACAAGAGATAAGGAGGATTCAGGGCTGGGGGGGGGGGCAGGAAGAGGAGGACAGCCCGGAGTGAAGCCAAAGTGCAAGGAATTGGGTGAAATCCCGAAGCAGCCCTCCTCACTCCAGGTTTACAAAGGTGTTCTCCTAATGGAGTCTTTTCTCTGGCTGATGAGACGATTTTGCCATCCCCACAGAATACGGTTTCCTTCACAGAAGGGCTGGTTTGGGCCAATTCCCCCACCCGCCCTTAGCCTGCACCAGGGGCTGTTCTGTGTGTGTGTGTGTGGGGGGGGTGTCTAGAAAATGTGACTCCAGGAGTGGCCAGACCAACTCTTCTGGTTTTCCTTGGGAGATTAAACAAGGGGGGTCAGCTCAGAGGAGCAAAACCCACAGATTTCCAGGGAAGAAAGAAACCCAGGGGTCTTTAGGGCTGTTGATCTCAGGACAAGGGGGGGCATCAAGCCCTCTTGATGGGGGTGGGGAGAGCCCGCCCTTGGTCTTTCAAGCAGGCAAAGCTGTAGAGCCAGAGGCTCTGCCCTAAGCCTAGGGAGCTGCCTTACCTGCTGGTTCTCACCTGTCAGCTGCATTTGCAAGTCTTGGGCTGCACCCTGGGAGATCCGGGTTCAAGCTCCCTTTTGTCCCCAGTTCAGCCACAAACCTCTCTGCTCAGTCTGCTCAGACTGACCTCCCTCCTAGGGCAGTGGTTGTAACAAAGGGAGGAGGGGGGAGGAGGAAATCTAGGCATGGGGCCCTGAAGCACCATAACCTTTCTCTGCTTTGAGCCCTGTGCCCCCTATGGTTGGGGGCAGCAAAGAGGGCAGTGACAGGATGAAAGCTAAGCCTCCCTCTTGGCCGGCGGGCAGAATAGCTGGATTCTCCTGGATTGAGTGACAGCCCTTTGGCCCAGACCCCTAGACCTGTCTCGGCACTGGTCCTTCAATTAAAGTATTCATGGGCTGGGCTGGGGAGAGGTAGATGTCTTTGCCCTTCACCCCAGGGAACTTTGGGGGTCCCTGATTGCAACTGTGGAAACCTCTCCGGGAGGACCCTGATGGCAGCTGCGAATAGCTGGATTCTCCTGGATTGAGTGACAGCCCTTTGGCCCAGACCCCTAGACCTGTCTCGGCACTGGTCCTTCAATTAAAGTATTCATGGGCTGGGCTGGGGAGAGGTAGATGTCTTTGCCCTTCACCCCAGGGAACTTTGGGGGTCCCTGATTGCAACTGTGGAAACCTCTCCGGGGGGATCCTGATGGCAGCTGCAACTTTGCTTTGCTTTGTTTTGCTTTGCTTTTGCCTGGCATAGCATATCCTGTAATAGGGCCGGCCTGAATGTCAGGCAGGGTGAGGCGGCTGCTTCGGGCAGCAGATCTGCGGTATCCCTATTGGTTATATTCAATTTGTTCCTGCTGCTTTTGGGGCTGCCAGAAGTGGCTGGAAATGTGTGTGGGATTTTTTGCTTTCTGCCAAAATAATTTGGCTGGTTAAAGATATCACATACAATAGGACTGCGGAATCTGTGGAGGATCAATCCAGACCCCCCACATTGATTAGGAAAAGGGTGGATAACAGTGAACCTTCTACAGTCTGTGGTCTCTGGTCCCCTCTAGTGGCTAGTTCTGTTAATTACATAGCCATCTAAATACAGTATGGATTTCTGAGATTCTTTATTTATGGTAATATTTTCAGGAAACAGATTAGTGAATCTGTGGATACCGATCTCACAGATGGGAGGGGCTGTCCTACTGTACCTTGAACGCAGTGGGTGGGGGTGCCAGATGCTGCTGCATTTCCAAAGGCCGCGCTTTGTGCGTTCTTGGAAAAGTGCCAGGGGCCACGCCGTGGTGGTGGTGGTGGCCGTGGCGGTCTCATCCTTTGGGACACACCCTTTGGCTTTTCTCGCCGGCAGATCCGTTCTTTGGCCAGCGCTACATCCACATCCTAGGGCGGAGGAAGCTGTACCACGTGGTGAAATACACCGGGGGCTCTGCAGAGCTGGAGTTCTTCGTGGAGGGGCTCCGTTTCCCGGACGACACCTTCAACGGCCTTGTCAACATCCACGTCAGCCTTCTGGAGCCTGTGAATGAGGTTTGCCCCTGACGGTCAAGGGAGGGGAGGCAGGGAGGGGGAGATGTTGTTGGGTGGGGGGGGAAGGAGATGCTTTCCCCCCCTGTAAAAAAAGGGCTTCTCTTCCAACTCTCAGACAGTCCCAAGCAGCTTGAAAACACAGAGTGGATTAGTGTGCCAAAAAACTGACACAGAACGGTAACGGTTTAGGCTAGGTACAAAAGTAGAGTTAAAAAGCAGAGAAGGACAGAATAGGGCAGAAAGAGGAAGCCCTGCTGCCTCGAAGATTTGGAGGTGGGGGTGGGGGGTACATCCCCCCCAAAAAAAGAACCCCAGCTCTTACAGACACACAGTTTGCAAATGCATTTTCCAAGCGCGTGGCCCTGGTTAACATATTCCAGCCAAAGCAGAGAAAAGTTTCTTGGGACCTGAAACGAGAGGCATAAGGTGGGAGGACGGCCCTTCTTGCAGCCAGAGAAGTGGGCTGCAGTTCTCCTCCAAAGCTCCTGCCCCGAACTGGACTTTTCTGTTAACTTTATCAGATGCCCCAGGAAGGCTTCCCCTTCCCCCCACCTCCTTCTGTCCATCCGTCCGTCCCACCCACCATCTATCCATCTATTCGTCCGTCCTTCCTTCCCTCTGGCACTGGGAGCGCGTGGATGTAACTCCAGAAGGAGCTGCTGATGTTAGGAGCTCAACACTTCACTTCACACCACAAATGTGCCAGGCTTCAACTGGCCGTTGACGTGGGGCTGCTTTGTACGGCTCTTCAGCTCCAAGGGGCCTCCCTTCCCCCTCCGCCGAGCGCGTGAGCCTTTCTGCCGGGACTTCTTTGAGCGCAATAGAGGGAGCCAGAGACAGAAAGTGGGTTTTAAAAACTTAAGCCAGGCAGCATTCTTATATTCTGCGTCCCAAATGTGTGTGACTTTTTGCTGGACCCGGATGCATAAAAATATAACTTCTGCTTTCCATCTGCTACCTTGAGTTTGCACTTATGGTTATATCTCTCTGGTTCCTTGGCCATCCTTCCCTTGTAAGAATACCTGGTTTGGGTTCTGACCTTGTTGTTGTTTAGTCATTAAGTCGTGTCCGACTCTTTGTGACCCCACGGACCAGAGCACGCTAGGCCCTCCTGTCTTCCACAGCCTCTCAGAGTTGGGTCAAATTCATGTCTGTCCCTACAGAGTAGCTATTAAGAGTAGCTTGTGACTATTAAACAAGGACTATTCTGGAACCTTTTATTTAGGTAAAGAAAGAAAACCTGCACAGTTGCATCAGGAAATCAATAGTGTAATAGTGCAGGAGGAGAAAGGTACAAATTGAGTGTCTTGTGTCACTTTTTTAAAACATTAGCTGTCTAAATGCAATCCTCTTATATGAAATTTGCATTATGCATTTATTTATACATTTGTTTTCCCGCCTTTTCTCCCCAGAACTGGAATCGGAGGTCAGCTCCCCACAAAATTAAAACAGGAATAGATACAAATAGATGAAAACAGTTAGAGGAGGGAAACGTATTAAAGATGATCAGGTTTAAAAAAGAATAACAATATCATATGATTGAACTGAAAAGCTGTTTAAAACCTCATCACACAGTACCAGCCTTTTAAAAGGTCTTCCCCCTGACAGTCAGACAAATAGCTTCAGGGGGAAAAAAGGGAGAGGGGTGTGTGTATGTCTTTAAAAAGGGTTCCTCTTTCCAGGGCATCCCACCAACCCCAATCTTCACTGACACCGTGGTCTTCCGGATTGCACCGTGGATCATGACCCCCAACACCTTGCCTCCGGTTACCGTTTTTGTGTGCAGGTACAGAACCAGCTGGCAGGGGAGTGGGAATGGGGGGGCAAGGGAGCACCCCCTTTTAGGGATTTTATGGGAGGGACTTGATGGGGAGGCTTTTTTAAAAAAGAGCTCCAACTTCAGATTCCCAAAACTTTGGCGGAATTTTTCCATCTGGACAGTTTTTATGTCTCTCTCCCATACTGACACACCTTGTGATCGGGGAGGAAGAAGGCCAGGTATCTCTGCACCCCCAACCCCAAGCTCACGGGGGTGGGCAAGGTGGGGAAGGAGTGCAGTTCTTGTCCTCTTCGTTATTTGGGTTTATTTTTTATTTATTTATTTATTTATTTATCTATCTATCTATCTATCTATCTATCTATCTATCTATCTATCTATCTATCTATCTATCTATCTGTCTGTCT